AGATTCTTTTATTATTAATGCGTTACCAAACCGTATATGCAAAGCATATTACTCTTTCTTCTCTGACGCATCAGTTTCCAAACGCCTTATATCATATTTGCGCTCGATGATCGCATACATCAGTCAATGTCGGAAAATCTTTAGCGCTATCACTTAGCAATATAATAGACTACGGATCGAAAGCCTGATTTTACGAACGACGGCAATTTCTGGTAAAAAATGCAAGATTATATTCACGTTCGCTTCTAGCCGGACATTGTGCTTGGTTAATAGATGGTATAAATGAAGGCAGCTACAAAACATGTGGCAAACATACCAATAGTTATGGTGGTGACTTCGTACCAAACTGCCTCAAGTCAAAGCTAGACCACCCTTTGCTTGCGACAGGTACGATATTTAAGCGTGGACACCGTGTAAGACATCGTGCTATAAAACCCAGAAATTTAATTATTGCAAACATTGATGTCCATCTTTGACTTAAGGTATTTATATCATATATTTTAAAACTACGACACACTCTGCGCTTTTTTAACCAGTTTGCAAAATTTTCATAAAATTTGCTGTGTATTGATACTGCCAATTTCATCAATACTACTGATAACTTCAAACGTCAAAAAAAAAACTAAATCACGAACAACAGTTGCTATATCGTGCAACTATAGTTCGTAATGTAAAACTATTTCGATCCTCACGAATTGCATTGCAAATAATATCTGTATATAAGCTAGGGATATATACACCTCTTTTAATTTAGTCGAAGGTACATCTTACAATTGACATTCTCGATGTGTTGTCATACATATTCGATATGCCTATCAGACGTCGATTCTAGACAATTACTAGTGAATTGCTAAAACTTGTATCACCTGATGTCGTGGCAAGCGACTTTTTCACAGCTTAATAAAGGTGCCGAGCGAGCACGATGTTCGATAAAATATTAACAATCTACGATAGTGGCCGCACCCTCGGTGCGAATCTCAGACAACGCTGAGGCATCCAAAGACTTAATGTAGCCTATTCGTACCGATTTCACCAGTACTGAGTACAGTAGATATTCAAATTTTAGCTCTGTAGATACGAAATAACAGGTCGTATGGGAGCTGATGACGGCCAATGAGATCATGTAAAAGAAAAACTTTAAACGCTCTAGTTTGTCCATATAAATGCATGTAAGATACGACTGGCTCAAATTTTTTGCATGCAGCAGATAGTCGTGTAAATTTGCCAATCTGCAGTTGATGAACTCTCAGTGGATCTCATCCAGGTGCATATTTCGGCAAAAACGCGCGTGCAGGATTCGTTGATTGTACCTTGAATAATTAAATCAAAGCCATCGAGTTTAATACGGATGGGGCGCTATACATTTTCTTTGCAGGCGAAAGATGCATTTATATAATTCAAAACCAATAGTATTCAACATATAACTTGCAGCCGATATATCAGTTGAATACCTAATATGCAAGCACGATTAAAAAGCAAGAGTTGAACGACTGCATTTATGAAGCATGTGTTCATGAGTATAGCAGCTTACGATGTGACTTCATCGTGCAGTGTTTTGCTAATAATGTGCGCCTGTACGTTCCCATGACTTTATATCAAGCTGTTGAGCTACAGAATGGCACTAATTATCCTGTGTTATTACATCGCAGAGCGTTACAAGCGATCTAGGATCAAATACGAAGCCAGAACGATTGCACATAAATTATCCGAAATCGCGTACCTAGGAGAAATGACTACGAAATCAGTACGGTGCGATTACCGTGTGGGGTAAGAGTAATTGATCTTTGCCTCTTCCAACGCCTCGTATCGATCTTATTGCGCAAATGCTGACAAATGAAAATCGAGGTTCTCACGTTCAGTATAACGGGTGGCCTGTTGTATGTCATCGGTGGGAATCGTGTAAATTTAAATTATCTGGAGTGATAAAGGTTATACATCTTTCCTAGTGCGAGTCAACTTTGACAGAATGTTGCCACTAGAAGCCCTGTCAGGCACCGGAAGGTATGGAGATCGATATACGCGAGGGAGGTACTATGACACATCACCGGACAGTGGCATTAAAAAAGGATATAGTGGGTCATATGTGTACCTAAATATACCATCAATCTTTCCACTCTTTTCAATAAAAGATATGTAACACGTTCTGAAAACACAATTCACTTTTGCGGATTCAAAGCATTTTGTTACTTAAAAAGTTATCTTTCTTGCGCACACGATGTACGTGTACTTTGAAACGACATCTTCTTATATAGTATCGGAAAAAGGGCATGCCAGTTGTCTGGAAAGTCGTGTGCCCCATTACACGTTCACTCGTTAGGCAAATCGATCCGTGACTTATACTAATATATCGTCAAATTATTGATTTATTCCTTTACCGCGTTCAGTATGCCAATAGTAATTCTTTCCGTGATGAGAACGCTGTAATTGAAAAAATTCAAAACGTGTACAACTATGTTGAACGATAAAAATACGTTTTATATATTGACGTATTACATTTGGTAAGACACATCGAACATGCGGCGTTCACCGTATAGTGCCAGGCATACATGTGAGGGACCCTGAAATGTCATCATGAACTACATATGTAAAATTTAGATGCGTGAAGGGCAACTTCATTAATCAGACTCACGATCGCTGTTTTTCATCGGTTTGGAAGCAGAAGATGTGGAAGACCAAAAGTATCGTTTCTGCCGACGTGCTGCCTGCTTAATTCATTCACAAGGTCAATGTCATCGAATGCAATGCAATATCATCTTCTACTATCTTTGATTTTTGCAAGACATCGACATATTACTGGCAAATCCCCCGCGTACAGTTGGTGTATCACCTATTGACGCAAAAGATATGCCCCGCGGTAAGTGAAAGAGCAAAGAAATGATCTGCTAAATGTACCCTTACTGCCGGATTGTCATGAAGAAATTCGGATGTTAGATGCGGATCTCTATAAGGGCGTGTGCACTGTTTTCCATACCATGGCGATTTTCATTTCCATTCCGAGCTTGATGACTGCGCAGGTGGATAACCGGTTTGTCTACCGAGGGTCAGCTTTGAGATTTAGATGCCATTGATATGGGCTAATGCATCCTACTTGATCGTGCGAAGTCGCCGCCATCGCTTATGGATCATTACCATTCTCCAAATTGTACCTTTAAGCTCAAAAGTGCGGTGCACCTCTCGTTGAAATGACCACAATTTCGCCAGCATCATCTACTCATTTCGGTCACAGCTAGCCGGCTACTTAACGTCAAATCCGATTACGCACAATCAACACTGCGTAGATTTTTCACACCACTTCCGATGCGCGTTGTGCTGGTTCAGACTAGTCTCTTGCGTGCTTACGCATAAGCAAATGCTATATATTCATAGCGGCTGCTGTACATCAGAAATTCATGTTGTCTGCGTCAAATGAATAAAAAATGTGAACGGCGTTTTTGACTGTGAGGGTTTGTACAAACTATTTTTACAGTCATATCTCGTGGGGTCGCGATTTGGGCAGTGTCCATTTGGTCTGTTCCATCAATATCAAGGTTATTTTCACTGAGCCTCCGTCGAGAATGACCTGCTTCGCACGAATTGAGTAAATTGACGCTCGCACTGCATGTATAATCCACTCAGTAACCGGAATTTGAGCTCATGAATGGGTTACATCTTGCTCCCAAAATAACAAACGAGCCTATAAGTCGCACTTCGATGCATTACACGCACGTATTCTGTGATGCATTTGCAGTAATGGCTAATAAACGACTCAGATGTAGTCAACTGTGAGAGATTTGGCCATTGAATGAGGCAATTCGAACGGATGGAGTTGTACCGTCGACAATTGGCGAACCACGCGTCGATATCCATTTTGACCAAACTTAACATTGCAGGCTGACTAGGTACCCTTTCTGTGGCTGCTCTGATCCCTATTCTTCGGCTGATCTACTCCATATTCTGTGACTGGCTTTGTTTTCACCCTTTTCGTGTTCAGACGGTCTATTCGCACGGAATTAGCAATGTGCAAGATCTCAAGTATCTCCTGAGCCATGACGCCAGCGCCGGAGTATCCGGGGCTGACCAGGGTTGGCCCCAGTAAAACCTGGTGGCCCTCTCGGTCGTGCTCGAGCAACTGGATGCATGCATAAAGCATGGTCCCTCGAATAGCCGACGACATATTTCTGTGATCATGTTGCATGATCGCGCGTAATTGGCAGATGCATGTAGCCATAGACTAATCGTGGAGCTTGTGGTGTCGATCGTGGCTGCCTGGTTTACCGCGTCATTCGGGTCGGCCTAGAGCTTGGTTTGACAAATCGTCGGGAGAATGTGTCAGATCCGCTTCCACACCCGTTCAGCCGCTCCCCAGTCCTCCTGAGACTGGCCCTCGAGGAGGGCTATCCAGTGCGCGGGTATGCTGACGACTCGTCAGCTTGCACCCGCGCTCAAGAAATGACGGGATCTCTGACGAGACATTTGCAATCCTGTCCAGTGCCCAACCAGCTTGTCCCACAGCGCGGCGGGGTGGGAGCAGTCTTAGACTATGTGCGCCAAAGTCTCCACGTATCCCTAACAGCCAGGTGTCATTCGACTATTATTGTTCTCTAGTCGCCCTACGTGGTGCAAGGTGAGTGAACGCGTCGCAATCCGATATCCCGTCCAGACTCGAAAAGACGTTTGGCTCTACCTGTGGTCCGAGACTTGCCGCGGTGATATCCACGGGGGGTTTGTTTCCCTCATTCTGCAGTGCAAATCTGCATCTGCAATGAACCCTTTGTGAGGTGTCACCGCTGCCATCACTAGCCGAGACAAAAAACGACGTATACTCGCAGCCGATGAAACATCGATGTGCTCGACTCTTTTTATTTCATTCGGCGTCTCTTTTGCTCGATGCCAAAAAAGGGTGCACAACCGTCTCGAGCGTATACAGGACTCCGGCGGAGTGTATACCGAGCGATTACCCTCGACCACCCCAACCCCCGTCGACGCCTTTTGCGTTTGCTGCCACGTCACACAAGTCGACGATGACACGAAAGCGGTCGTTGACGCGGTACCACAAAGTCGCACTTATCATCGCGTCGCAGCTGCTGCTCTTCTGGCTGTATGTGCTGTATACACCGCTGGACGACAATGGACTCCAAGGCGACGCGTTTCTGCCGTCTTCGAATTCCTTACGTCGCTGCGTCTCCAGTGCCCATCGCGACAGTCGCTATGTCCGACCAGAAGTGTGCGTTGCTGTGCCGCAGCGCGTAAAGGCGTTAGCCGATCTGCTGTACGCTCTAACGGTGTTACTGGAGAACGCCCAAGTGGTCTACTGGATTGACAGTGGCACTTTATTAGGCGTCTACAGGGCGCAGCAGCTCATTCCATGGGACTACAACGCAGACGTAGGGGTCACGACGGCTGGTGCGGACTACCTCCGATCGACGGATCGAAAGGCACTGGAAGTGCCGGAAGGCTACGAGCTCACAGTGTTCAACAGCTCTCTTCACGAAGCGGGCGAGACGACAACGGCAGTGCCCGTGAGGTTCGTGGACACCACGTTCGGGTTCTACGTCAACGTCTTTGCGTTTCAAGAATCCCACGGACTCTTCACGGACGACGTGAGACCATTGACAGCGCCAACAGTGGCAGAAGACGTGGTGGGCGACGGGATTGCCGTCGAGACGATGGTGGGGCCAGAGCCGTCGGTGATCTGGCATCGGTGTGTCCATTGTCCGGTCATTCAGGAGACGGACGACAGTGTCCTGTCGAAGGCGCTGAGCGCTGCGGCGGTGAAACAATTCCGTGTTCCGCGAGATTGGGTGTTCCCGTTGCGAATATGCAAAGTCGAGCTGTTTGAAGTCATGTGCCCCGCGCAGGCAGTGCCCTACCTCATGTACATCTTTGGCAACCGATTCTTGACGCCCGAGATATGGGACTAACACGCAAACGTGATGCTGACGGTGTTTCGCAGCAACATCGCGAGGTCTTCGAGCACTGTTGCATCTGTTCCATCGAGTGTATCGCCGTATGCGGTTTCTGGCCCTTTGCACTGTCGTCAGACTTATTTAGCGCAAGTGGTGGCCCGACACTGTGATGCCTTTCTTTCAGTAGACTGTGAGATGTTTGATCAGGTGGCGTGATGTGTTTGCTACGCACGGCACAACACAGCCGTGTGATCACTGTTACTTTGTGAGTAATATGGCTAGAATGCAAGAATCCGTGGGAGCAGAGACCGGTAGAGCAATATGTATCGCTTCCACATGAGCCTTGAGAGATGACGTGTCTTGACATGAGTTGTTGTGCTAGCACGACGCTTTTGTTTAGCCTCGCACCGATCCGAAAATTCGCGGCATCGGTGATTCATGTACTGTAACAAACTGCGGGAGGATGGTGCTCGTGAAGCCTATCGACTGATCAAGGGCGTAATAGGAAAAGGCTTGTTAGTTAATGGTCGCGTGGTGCCATGTCTTTGCTTCAACGGGCTTCGAAGAGCGACAGTACCATTCGCCAGCTCGTTTGTCGGCATTAGCTTGAATGTCTACCACTTGCATACGAGGCCGTGCGTTCTCTATCGACGAAATTTCAGCGAGCCGCCATGAGATTCTGGATCATGTAACGGGCTCACTCTATGGTAATAGCCACGAACATGTCGTGATATTAAATTTTATATGCAATTCCTAGTGGCAAATGGCATAACGGCGTTGTAAATACAAAGCTGCATCGGACATTACTACCGATGCACGTGACCTGTCTATCAACTCTTTTATCCACAACTCCTCGTCACGTGACCTCGGCATGTGTGACTATACTGTACTGAGTAACGCTTCCATTCAATGAAGAGCACGATTTGGTCGAAAAAAATCCTATCAGGCCACTCGCGTAAAGGCTGACATGGTAAGTGTATACACGACCACTCGAAGACATCGAACAGCATGAGGCTGAAAGTGTTCGTGGGACATTGCCACTGGAATGCATGCACCTGGCACGAGTCCACGAGCAAGCGACCCAGATATTGAGAAAACTACAATCACAATCGAGTCCTTCTCGGGTTGTATCGGAAGATAGTAAACCTCGGGATGTACCTTACTTGAGATGGACAAACGCAATGCTGCAATCGACAACAAAGCAGCAATACATAGAAGACCATACGGTCTTGTCGGAAGAGAAGCGGCCGATGTGGCTTCGATGGTGTCAAAGGAGAAGTGTGAGAGAGAAAATAAACGAGATTGATTGAGCTAATGTCTCGGCGTTGACGGTAGCGATTGAGCTCGTAAGATAGCTTGGAAGGTGTAACGGGGTTACACGTCGGCTGGTAGTCGACGATAGGTGTGGTGCACACAAGAGGGGGGGGGTTACCCTATAAAGTAATTCTAGAACACAGTGAGTGTATCAATTGTTGAAGACTGATGTCTGTCATCAATTGATTGCGAGATCTTTTAAGAGGTTATTTAGGGCAGGTTAAATACGTTGTTCTAAGGTGTTCTTTTAGGTTAATCAAAGAAATAAAAATTCAGTTCCCCTTTTGATCAGTAAGAGACACGTGCCTCACGAGGCGTCTTTGATCGGTAGGAGCTAGCAATACCTGTGAAGGTAGCTACTCCTGAGCACTCTGTGCTGTGATTCTTTTGAATCGTTTGGTCCCTTAGGAACGGGGACCGTAAGCTCTCTGAGCTTGTTGACTCTCTGAGTCGGGTTCGTAGAACCAAAGTTGCTCGTAAGAGCGTTAAGTCTTCCTCTGACTTAAGGAGCTGTGTAGCTCCGCTACACTTGGTAGCACTTGTAGTCAATCTACGCCTGAGTCGTTACGACTGATCCTCTGTGAGGATGGAGCAATCCACACCCCTCTCTAAGGCCCAAAAGGTCGCGCTTGATAAGCTGACCGCGGCCGTAGGCCCTGAGTACGTGGAGTTTCTCGCTGCACAAGGTCCCGATGTGCTCAACGCATGAGTAGAGACCTTCATGCAGTATGAAACGGCCCTGTTGGGCCAGGTTCAAAACCAAGTAGCGTCGGCTATGCCAACACGCTATGTGGCTATGCCACCAGAAGAGGCTAAGCCTCGTCCCCTTCGGGTGGACGTTAAGTGTTACTCCGGGAAGGAGGGGGAAAACCTTACCCTCTGGATCCGTGAGATTGAGATGGCCATGGACTCTGGTCTCATCTCACTTGAGAACCAGCGGGTCTCGTTGGCTATCTCTAAGCTCGATGGTAGAGCGAGAGAGTGGGCTATGACGTGTTGAACGTCGGTCAACTTGGCGTTTCCCACGTGGGATTCGCTTAAGTTGGACCTTTTGCGAGTTTTCTCGCCGCCTAACCAGGCATATTGCGTGCGCTCACGGTTCTTGTCTACCCGTCAAGGTAAGAACGAGTTAAAGGACTATGTCCAGGAGTTGAGAACTCTGATGGCTGCCATGCAGTCCGACCCTCTCCCTGAGACCGTCTACGTGACAGTCTTCATGGAAGGTCTTCGCACTGGCATTGCCAGGACCGAGGTCTTTCGAGTCCATCCCTCGACTTTTGAGGAGGCTGTGAGTATCGCTCAGAATGCTGAGAATAACTTTAAGTCAGCTAGACTTGGTTGGAATGGGTACAACCCAAGCTATGAGAGGGCAACCTCAGCAAGCACCTCAGCTTACTGTAAGCCCGAACCGATGGATCTCAGCAACGCTGAAGATGAAGGTGAAGCTGAGCTTCATGTTGCCGAGCAACGACAGGAGGTGAGACGCTGTTACATGTGCGGAAGCACTAAACATCTACGTCCCACTTGTCCTTTGCGTAAGCAACGAACGACTCCTACGGGTCGAAACCCCAGCCTCAACCAGAAACTTGGTATGGCACGGGGAAACGTCGACACCCAGTAGGCGCGGGGCGCCCTACTGGGGTAGAACTGAGTTACGTCACTTCTCTACGAGGTAGAGCGACACAGGGCTTAGCCCCACAGAGCTCCGTGCCAGCAATCACAGAGCTTGGATACAAGTCTGGCTTGTTAGTCGCTGAGGCGACAGTTAAAGGCTTTGAGAAGCACTGGTCGATATTAATCGATTCTGGGGCGTCATGCAACTATGCTAGACGCCGTTCCCTTGAGGGAAGTCAGCAATATGCTGAGGCGCTCAAAGCGCACGATGGTGATTCCATCACTGTTCGGTTAGCGACGGGTGGTCGCGTTACTGTGCCTCAAGTTCCGTTGAACTTGGGCGTGAGGGTTTTGGACTTTGATAGCACAGAACGCTGTCTCGTCCTTGACTTGGATTCGAGATACGATCTCATCCTAGGCATGGCATGGCTTAAACACCATGAACCATGGATCGATTGGAGGTCTAAGACCTTAGGCGCCACGCGCAATGTTCCTAGCGAAGCTTTGGAGAGTCATGAACCCACCTTTGCTAGGCAACAAAAGCACTATTGGCGCGAGTCAGTGGCGGAAGATGTCAATGTGCTGGACATTGGTATGTCGCAGCTAACTAGCTCGAATGTCTATGACATGAATATGGAGCGGAGCTCTTCTATTATGATTGAAGAGAGTTGTACTCCGTTGAGTGATACTCGTTGTGATAATGAGTCACTGCATGCGTCAAGCATGGTTGGCCTACGGGCGTGACATACAGGAAGTAATTCCCATGATGTCAGTGCGGTGGCACGTGAAATCACACAGAGTGAGGTCGGCCGTAATGGCACCTCACTGAATGTCGGTAATGACATTGATGGCGAGAAGTCAGAGCGTTCAGGGCTAGGCCCGAATGCTGTACGTGAAGTAGTACGTGTAAATCCACTGGGTGAATTGTTTGAGTTACGTAACACTTCACCAGATGTCGTTCAAGACATGAGCTCTCGTCTAGAGCGTGCTAAGATAAATAGCAACCACGGGGACCCGACTGTCCCGGTCTCTAGGAGGCGTATGGTTTGTGTGAGGAAACGATTCCAGCGTAAGGTGGCAACTGTGAAGCGCCCAACGTCTAAGAAGTCACGAAGTGATAATAGTAATAATACACTATATACACTTGTCACTGGGTTGACTGGCCAGATTGATGGCAATACTAGTCTTGAGACTATTCCATGCTTGTATACTCTCTTTGAACTAGACGAAATGTCTGACGGCGAATTTAGCCAAGCCTTACAGGCAGGAGAATTATCCGAATTAGTGGTCATTCGACCAGATATTGAGTTGAACTCATCCTCGTTATTGGACGAGTCTGTCCTTGAGGACACAAAGGCGGCATTGGGTGCCCGTAGTGGATCTTCGATCCTTAAGAATCCTCTTGATCCGTTCTATCCTTTGGTAAAGGAGTTTCAGGACGTGGTGTGTCACAAACTACCGTCCGTCTTACCTCCCGATAGAGGTGTACGTCATGAAATTGACTTGGTTCCTGGAACTAAATACTGCGTAACACGGCAGTGGCCTTTACCGAAGGAACAGTGCGAAGTAATTGACGACTTCTTTCGTGAAAAGCACGCAGCAGGCATGGTTCGTGAGAGCAAATCTCCTCATTCCACGCCCACATTTTGTGTTCGAAAGCCCAATGAAAAGTGGCGGATTGTTCATGCTTACAATAAGCTTAATGCTGCCACGATCCCGGCTCAGACACCAATCCCTCGGAAAGATGTTCTTCAGAACAATATGGTGGAATGTACGATGTACAGTGCACTCGATTTAGTCGATGATAATTACCAATTACTCATGCGTGAGAAAGATATCCCGCTAACAGCGGTTAGTACCCCGAGCGGTATGCTCTGGGAGTGGCTAGTTATGCCACAGGGCTTGCCAAACGCGCCAGCTACGTTCAATCGTCTTGTGACGCAACTGTTTCGGCCTCACCGAGGTTATGCACAGACCTACTTTGATGACATCTTTGTCCATAGTCGTGCTATGAACGGCCGGTCTGATGTGGATAATCACATCGACCATTTACGAGCAGTGCTCGAGTGCATGCGCACAAACAAGTTGTATGCCAACGCATCTAAGTGCATCTTTGGTGCACAAGAGATTCCCTATTTAGGGTGCTTCTTCGGGAAGCGTGGTCTTTGAGCGGATCCCGCTAAGATAAAAGCCATAGTCGATTGGCCGGTTCCTCAGAACCAGAAGGACTTACGTAAGTGGCTTGGTCTTTCCCATTTCTTACACAAGTATAGTGCAAACTATGCAGACATGGCTCGATCATTATCCAATCTCCTTAAAAAGGATGTGGAATGGTGTTGGACGAACACCGAGCAGGAAGCCTTTACGGCTGTAAAAGAGAGCCTTCTTCATGCGCCAATCTTGGCTTTGCCCGATCCTGATCGATCGTTCAGTATCGTCTGTGATGCATCTGACTTTGCCATAGGCAGCGCTCTGTTACAATCAGATTCTGATGGACGGGAACGCGTCATTGCGTATGAGTACCGGCAGCTGAAGGCTGAAAAAATAAACTATCCTGTTCATGACAAAGAGCTACTTGCAATGAAGTATGCTCTCGTCAAATTCAGAGTTCATCAGCTTGGCTCTAAGCCGTTTGTGATCTATACAGATCATGCGTCACTGCGAACTGCGACCCAGTCTCCTCACCTCTCTCAGAAAATGGTTAGTTGGATTTCCTTCTTTGCCGAGTACAACTTCGAGGTGAATTATAAGTTAGTCAAGCAGAATGATTTGGCTGATGCGGTGTAGCGCAGTCCTGACTATGAGCTTGCTCATGTTACGACTCTGTCATCATCGGTCACAGACCTCATTCGTTCGGCATATGCCAAAGATGAACACTGTGTAGCTTTGCTACGTGCTCTGGGGAGCGAGGAGTTTAACGACTCAGGCATTAAATTGTCGGCACGATTGCGTGCGAGGCTACATCTATATTCCATCGATCAAGGCCTGTTATGCTATAGCACAGATATGGAGGATACTCCCCGTATCGTTGTCCCTCATGATGAGGAATTGAAGTATCGCATCCTCTATGAGGCGCATGATACTGCGGTGAGCGGTCATCTCGGCCGAGAAAAGACATATAGCTCCGTGAGCCAATATTATTGGTGGCCCAAACTTTACAAATGGGTAAGCACATATGTGCGTACGTGCGAAACGTGTCAACGGGTGAAACCCTCAGCTCATGCGGCTGCGCCGCTCGCTAGTCTCCCTATACCCTCTGGGTGCTGGGAGTCCATCAGCATGGATTTCATGTTCTGTCTGCCGAAAGATGGGCAAGGCAATACGGGTATTGTGGTCTTTGTTGACCGTTTGAGCAAGATGGCTCACTTGGCGGCTATGCCAGATACCATTGATGGTGAAGGTCTAGCTACGCTGTTTATCGATCGAGTGTTTCGACAACACGGCTTGCCTGTGGAAATTGTCTCTGACCGAGACCCTCGCTTCACTGGGAAGTTTTGGAAGTCCATCTTCAAGGTGCTCGGCACACGTTTGGACATGTACACAGCGGATCATCCGCAGACAGATGGTAAAACCGAGCGAGTCAACCGCGTTATCGGTGACATCTTGCGCAGTGTTTGCGCTAATACACCAAAGCGTTGGAGTTCGATGCTCCCTGTTGTTGAGTTTGCGTTGAACAACGCTGTTCATGCCTCTACAGGCTTTACTCCGTTCTACGTGAACGGTCTCACACACCCTCGCGTTCCGTTAACGCTACCACTGCGTGGTTCAGGGCTTGGTGGGGGAGAGATGGCCGATCGGCTTGCAGATAGTAGCCCTGCTACTGTTCATAAACAGGTAAGCGAGTTTCTCGCAACGCAATTGAATGTGTTACGACGCGTGCGTGATGCACTGGCTGATAGCCAAGATAGACAAAAGGAACAAGCTGATGTTAAAGGCAGAGGATGTATTGAACGTTATAAGGTCGGAGACCAAGTTCTACTCAATGCTAAAAACCTACCTACAAATGTAGTCTCTGCTGTCTTCAAGACAAAGTTGCGTCCGCGCTTCATTTGAACATTCACGGTCATTGCTAATAAGGGATTGGCATACACGCTCAACCTTCCGCGCAAACTGCGCACGCACCCAGTGTTTTACGTTGGCTTGCTTAAGCCGTATCGGGACCCGTCCCATGTGAACTCGGAGGCGCTTGCGCCTGGAAATAAGGCCTTGACGTCGACTGTTGCATCCGAACCAGGAGGTCAAGCTGACCATCCACACGGGCTAAGGCCAACTCCAACGCCTGAACACGGGCTTGCATCGCGCCGAGTTCATTCTGGGTCTTACCCAATGTCTCTCGGAGACCACTCAGCTCACGGAGCACCTTCTCATGCTCCTTCTTCGGTACCCCGACCGCCATCGACGCTGCTCGATGAGCAAGGGAACCACCAGTTCCATGTGGAAAAAATCCTTCAGCGACGTCGTCGTCGTGGCCAATACCAGTATATGGTGAAGTGGCGAGGGTACCCGGAGTCGGAGAACTCGTGGGAGTATGAGATACCCCTTCGGCAGGATTGCCCTTACGCCGTGGATGTTTTTGAACATCGTGGCCAGGGTCGCCTTGCGAGCGAGAACGCTTCTCACCAATAGTGGTGGGAGGTGGCGTGTTGCTCCGCACCTTAGGGTCGTGACCCGTGGCTACCATTGTAGCCGGAGCATAACGCGTACGTGTACGCAACTAGCCTCTGGCCTTGAGCTTGGCATACTCGAAGCGGAGCTTCCGTTCCAGACGAACGTCAGCCACATCGGCGCTGGCCCGCAGCGTTGGCACACTGCTAAGATGCCGCTTGCGGTACACCCAACGGATGAACTCATTGTCCTCCTCCTCGGGCAGTTCGCCAACGAACAACAAGATGGGCACGCCCTTTATCGGTCGAACCGAAACACCACGAGAAAGACTCTCAAGGTGTGCAAGGTACTGACCTTGCGTGGTAAAGGCTGGATCGAGATACCTCTCATTTAGAGCCTTGCGAAAGGCGATATCTTCTGGCGACGTAGCCTCGGGGCCAGTGGCCCATGTTGAAAGGCTACGGCCTTCCGTTTGACGGAGGCGTTGCTCCACGCCTGGTGTTGAGAACACGTAACCACTCCGGTTTCGAATAACCGCCTGGGTATGAGGGCGACGTAGAGCACGCTCCTCACGCTGACGGATCAGCTGCTGTTGCTCGTCGAGCGGGTTCGTGATGATGTTCTCATCTGCATCTGTTGTATGATGCTGCGCCACTGGCGCGGTGATATCACCACGTTCAACGAACGGAATCGATGCTGTATGAGGATGAGCCTCAGTTACAGCGGAGTGGGATGATATCCCGTCATCTCCATGGACACTGGTATCACTACCATAGTCCACATCATCGTCGAAGTCGAGGTAAGAGGAAAGAGACCGAGACTCGTTGGGTGGCAATGCCATGGTGTTTCGTGTTTAGCAACCGAGATGTTAAGCACACAAACACACCGACCTCTTCGAGATAAGAAGCCGATTGAAGTTTGGTGGTAACGTCAGTCTGGTGGGGGAGGGTGTAACGGGGTTACACGTCGGCTGGTAGCCGACGATAGGTGTGGTGCACACAAGAGGGGGGGGGGGGTTACCCTATAAAGTAATTTTAGAACACAGTGAGTGTATCAATTGTTGAAGACTGATGTCTGTCATCAATTGATTGCGAGATCTTTTAAGAGGTTATTTAGGGCAGGTTAAATACGTTGTTCTAAGGTGTTCTTTTAGGTTAATCAAAGAAATAAAAATTCAGTTCCCCTTTTGATCAGTAAGAGACACGTGCCTCACAAGGCGTCTTTGATCGGTAGGAGCTAGCAATACCTGTGAAGGTAGCTACTCCTGAGCACTCTGTGCTGTGATTCTTTTGAATCGTTTGGTCCCTTAGGAACGGGGACCGTAAGCTCTCTGAGCTTGTTGACTCTCTGAGTCGGGTTCGTAGAACCAAAGTTGCTCGTAAGAGCGTTAAGTCTTCCTCTGACTTAAGGAGCTGTGTAGCTCCGCTACAGAAGGTGCGAGTTGCCTTCTGTCGAGTATACTGCTTCAACAGATAGCCCGTGTTTCAGCCTAATGCAGTCGCACACGCACAGCTGCTCAATCGATAAAGTCGTCTTGTGCTGTCACGGACGTATTGCAGTATGGAAAAATGATCTGAACGAGTGGCTCGGAGCTCTTTTGGACAATGTGTCTTTTTCGTCACGGGGTACTTGTCACGCTCGTGAGCTTAACTTGGTGCATGCTACGTTGTCTCGCGACTGAGATGCTGTGACTCGAGTTGTTGAAGCCCGCTCTTAAGTTCAGCTCAGTGTTACAGTCGGCGCTTTAGCTAACGACAACGCGTCCCGAGATGGTAATGAAGTGAACCAGGATGAACCAAGAGACACGAACGAGCTAGGTAAAGAGAAAAGAAGTGCGTGTGTATGTCGGAGACCTGCATCTATTCTCCATTCGATTCGAGCTCGCTCTTCTTGCCGTAGCTTTTTCTTCACGACACCAGCCGCAGCAAGATGTCACTGGTTCTATAAGTATGACAGCGCTAACCTTGATGTTGAGTACGCCTCTGCGACTGGCCACCATGTTGTCGCGTTTGGCAAGGGAGAGCTCTTCTAGCTGCTGGTCAATGCGCAAGCTCATTTTCAGATCAGATACGTGCCGATGCACCTGATTGATGACGTCTGTAAGGTACACCGCTGGTCGGCTTCATGCCATATGCCGTTGTGACGGAACTAACAAAACATTTGGCCACGTGCAACTGGATCCCACAGGTTTGCCGCATATGCTCCTGCGCCAAGTGCCTTGTCACGACTCGACTCTTTGCCATAAGTGACACGTTTTGTCTTCATAAGGACTCGTCCTAGAGCGATCTATTGCAGATGTGTGACATCGGCTGCATGCATTCCTTACACTGTGTAACTACGAGAACCTATGATGCCTGCGAGCTGATGACGAGTGCCAAGATCGTGTTGGGCAACGACTCGCACGTTTGAGTTGACTTACTCTCGCTTTTGCTTGTCCAGATCAAGGCAAGTACGCGAATCTCAGCCGGAGACTTGTACACAACAAGTGGATGTGCCTTGCTGCCAATCTGCAGTCGATGAGATTTCGATGCCTTGTAGCTGGATGCTTTTCGCAATCAAAGACGTACCTCCGGATATTAGTGGCAGGACTTTGGGGTACCTTCGTCAACGGCGTTTGCCTTGGATACGGGCACGTGAGCTACACTGCTTCTTTGTTTGCAACAAATGGATCTACATTGATCAAGCATCATGGACTTTGATGTATTCTTGTGACCTGATGTGTCATTTGACTTGTTATGATGCAGTTGCTAGCGGACAGCCAGCAAGTTATCTACGATGCTGCATCCGTCGAGCATGTACGCAGATGTGATTGCAGCGAACGGTTGAGCTTCATCGCGCAGCCTGTTGCTGAGTATGTGCGTGTGGTACGGTTTCCAAGTCTTCGGCATCAAACTGGTCAGCTAAGATGTGGCACAACATGGCCTGTGCGTTTACATTGCAGAGCGTCACAAAGCGATCCAGGAAGACGTCTGAAGCCAAGACGAGTGCATACAGACTATCCGGAATCGCGTACTCTGGGAAAACAATATTCCACGCGGCGGTGAGTACAGTCAAGGCTCCAGACGGAACCGGCGGGGCCGTGATAGTGCACAACAAGACGCCGAGAAATGTCACCAACATCGTCGAAACGGACTGCGCGTGAGCAATACCCGCGACATCCGCCATAAAGTGCACCACCACAGCCAGGTAGATGCATGTCCCAGGCATGTGGAGCGATGTGCCCACGGACAAGACAAAGTGCATGATCGGGCTTGCGGTGTCACGAGACGCTTCGAAACACTGGAGACTCAGCGGCATTGTCGCCATCGACGACGAACAGCCCACGCTGTACACATACACAGGCAGCATCTGGAGCATGAAGGAGAACGGGTTCCGGCGCGTAACCAGCAGGAAAAATGCAGGCACTATCACGAGCATATGGACGAGCACAGTCACAACCAGAGTAGTCACCACGATCAGCACCAACTTCAGAGGCTGGTCTGCGACCGAGTCTTCCAGTGTAGTAGCTAGCGAGCCAGCAAGCAAACTCAAGACGGCAAGGGGTGTGAAGCGGAGGATATAGTGCGCCATATGCACGAGCGTCTCGTTCACTTCACGGAAAAACTCCAGCAGCGGATTCAGACTCGCAGGTCCGTCGAAACTGCAGGCCAGCATTGCACCAAGTGGCAGTGAAAAGGCAGCGATGCTCAGCAACATGCTGGAAACAAACGCGGCCACAATGTTCGCCGGCACAGCCTGACTGATGATGTTCAGCACATTGTTTGACAGCGTCGTGTTCGTTCCCGTTAGTGCTTCGTTCCGCACTAACGCGCCATTGACATCGTCCAGAGCAAACCGCGACGCGGCCGAGAGTTTCGTCGCCGAGCACGTCACGACGCCGTCCTCGCCTGCTTCGAGGTACCTGCCATTACCACACTGGATACCAAAGATAGCGTCCGTGCTGACATTCGACTCGTCCTTCCGGTACGAACAAAAGACCGAGTGCATGGCAACAGCAGTTGCAAGCCCGAGCCCGATCGCTATGATCATGGAAATCAGCAGCGCAAAAGCCAGTCGACCGGCCAGGTACTTGCCCAGTCGCTTGTGCACAATGTCAGCAGTTGCAACAACGAGGTTGACAAACACCATGGGCACGACAATGCACTGCACGGCCCGCGTGAAAAGGTGCCCAGGCGTCATGATCCACTCGGCCGTGGTCTTGTGAATCGCCACGTGCTTGAGCAGTCCACCGACGAGGGTGCCCCCGATAATGGACAGGACAATGAGCATCATCTTGCGCGTCGACGCGTGCCTCGCGAGTGGCGACGCTGTGAGTACCATGTCGGAAAACGGCATGTTCGGGTCCTTCGCAGGCGTGTGGAAAGGGCGAAACGTCGAGTCCCGCGGCTCGGACGCCTTCTCTTCTGCAACTGGTACCGACGACGCAAAGTGACTTTCCATGCCGTTGTCACCACAGCTGTGGCCGTCTATTGTGGACGTGAAGTTGGTGCCGCGTGTCACGGAGTACAGAGGCGCCGAGCGGGAGCTTGGGACGTCAGCAGTGCTGCTGCCATACCACAGCGACGACGATCCACTCGAGAAGCCCGAGATGGAGCTGAGCATACTGGGCGCCGACATGTCGCTGCGGGAGCTGTCCTTCGTGGCGCTCTTGTCCAGCATGACGGACTTCCAGTGGTACGCCCGTCTTCTTCTTTGTCCTCTTCTTCGCCTTTGTCTTCTTTTTCTCGTCCCTATTGCGTGTCGCGTCAGTCGGTATGGAGGTCGGAACGCACGTGGCACTGCGCGTTGGGTCAGGATAAGAAACTGTTAGGACGGAGTGATGAGTGGTATACGTAGCTGCTCGAGGTTTGTGCGCAAAGAAAGAGCGACGAAAAAGAGGCGGATTGGTGCTGCAAAGAAAGGCGCATGGGCTGCATGAGATCGACTTGATGAGGGCGAGAAAAGCAGTATAGGAGCGGTCGAGCAGGATTGCCGCGTATGGCTGCTGATAAGACGGACGATCTGGTACACACCGACTTCGTACCGTGGTTTTCGAACGAGGTGTGTGCAGGATGGATTGCGCCGTACATACTGGACAAGAGGACGAGGTATGCGTGAGCTTATTGTGGCAAGCTGCATGCGACGGATTCGCTTCTCAGACAAGTCTGTGTGTCCGTGAAAACGTGCATAATTCCATACAACCCGCATCTTCATGAGATGCATCGTGAATGTAACCACACGTCAACAGCCATACCCACGCACGAGTATCCCAAAATGGCGGAGGTTGCCCCCCACTGCTTCGCCACCGACGGAAGCATACACAAAGTCTCGCTTCGATAGTGGAAAGAGATACGCAAGCTATTGATTATGTCTACCTGCCTTATAGTAAAGCGTGCATCCACTTGTTCATATTGGCACACGCTTGACGCAGTTCTTTGACGCTGCAAGGATGCGTAGACCTTATGTGTAACGGGGCACACCCTTGCGTAACTTAACGCAAGGGATTCGGGTGCCCCGACGGACGTACACGTGGCGAGCGAGGAAGCGTAGGTAGGGTAAAAGTAGAACTGTTATATTAATAAATTAAGTCTTTAAACTACTGTCTCTTCGTTTGACTTAATTCAATTATACTAATATAACTGCATGTATGGTGACGTCTCGTCACCACTCATTGCGCGCGTCTTGCGGCGATTGGTGGGTTGATATCATCACGATATCAACCAATGAACAGACCCTTCTGGTCGACCCTTCAATATCACCGCTTCGGTGATATTGTTTAAAGAATATCCATCTTTATATTCTTTATTGTCACTTTCCTTAAGTGACAATATTATGTAACGGGCTGCCCCGTTACATCACCCCCCTTAACTGATAGTCACCGTGTGACTATCGAAATATGGAGGCCACCCGTTGGCCACCATTGGGACAGGGAGTACTTGTTTGGTCCGTTCCACTCACTTTCCGCTTGACCTCGCATAGCTAACATGTCTATGCGAGGTGACTCAAGACCCACACAGCCTGGTGCTGTGCAAGCCTCTGCGGCAGACGCTTCGTCGTCTGCCGCCCCTTCTTCGCCTGCAGCAACAGGTGCTGCAGGTGCACGCGGTATCACGCCGCGTGCGTACGATGACCCCGATGTGGAGGTCATCTACTCTGGCGAGTCAGACGTGTCTGACTCGGGCAATGCTCCAGAGGCGTCTCGCTCACCGGCGACGCCTCAGTATTCGCCAAGGCCACTGCCGAACGAACGGACTCGTGAGTTGCAACACAGTCTGTTCGGCAGTGATGACGAATCTGATGATGAGTATGTTTGCTCATCACCGCAATCAGCTCGTGCTCCTTCGCACGAGCGACTTGACGATGGTGCAACCCATCGTCATACTGACAGCCGTGGTACCAACAAAGGTACCACTGTGAAGCGTGATGAGCTGAAGCCGTGGCGTTTGCCCGAACGGCTCATCAATAGCCTGTCTCACGAGACAGGCCAACACCATCGAATACCCTTATTCGATGCAACCGAGCTTCACGGCTTGAGTCCCAGCGCGAAGAACTTTCGCGCTGAAGAAGACTTTTATCTCGATGTCTTCCTTAGACATCGATGGTACAATAGCAACCAAAAGCGTGACAAAGCATCGCTTTTGGCTGCGTGGAACGCGTTCGTCCAAAACGTCAAGAATTTTGGACGAGAGGGGTGGCTCAAGAAACTTGAGGCAACACGCCTCAGGTTCGAACGGCGAACGCCAACCGGTGCTAGGTACCGGTTGCATTGTTTATCGAGTGAGGCAGGCATTCCTTGCCTCACATGGGGAGACCCTTGTGCGAGTTGTGTTGACAACTCGCAGCGTGCACATAGGGATGTGTACTCCCTAAGTTCGCCCTGGGGAAGGGCACATCTCTCGGAGGAGATGCGTGACGCGATTGCAAACTTGCAATCCGTCTACAAGCGCCTAGGGCGCGTGTTTACCGATGGGCCACAGGACTCATCGGATGGGTCTCGTCATATTGGTGGACGAGACCTTCAACATCCATCAACAGCTGAGAGCGGGGCTCCCAGCTGTTCCAAGAGGGTGGATACCCCCGCCACTGGACGAGGTAGCTCGTCCTTGATCCTGAATCGTCACGGTGATTCAAGATACGCTCCACTAGAAAGCGTTGATCACCGTGAGCATCCACCAAAGGATGTGGTGGAGGAGGAAAGACCTCCTCCAGAACCCCAGGCCCACCATCTCGACCCTTACGAGATGGATCGCGCAATCGATGAATTGCGCGATGACTTGAAGCACGAGCGCGACCGACGCTACGCTTTGACCGACACCGTGCGGAAGAACCGCAAGGATCACGAGGCTGATCGGGCGAGGGATCGCGCCGATTATGCCACGGCGCAGCTTCAGGTCGAGCGGGATGTCCGCTCCCTTTTCGGCGAGCTGGCGACAGCTCGCGGAGAGATAACTCGGTTGAATACCGAGGTATCATATCTGCGCGACCAGACGGATCGTCTGGAGCGCGAACGCAAGAACTTGATGGATGTTCTTGAACGTGGGGGCTATCTTCATCGGAAGAAGAAGGCCCGTACTGACAGTACGACCTAAGCCTCCCCACGTAAAACGTAGGATGCGTGCGCATCCTACGTGGCAATTCGAGTGTGTATGCATTGCCCTTGCGATGCAACACTCGAAATGGCCCAATGTATTTCGGCAGTAGTTTACTACTGCCGACACTAGTGACTGCATGTCTAGGTAGGTTTACCGTAGACAGTAGTACTAGGTCATTAACCTTAAATGAAAGAACATTTGCTCTTCCATTCTTGTCTGCGTTCCGTTTCTGACGGTCCACCGCATTTGCGATGGAGTCCTGAACGAAACGGACTACCGCTTCTCGAGTCAGCAGGAAGTTCTCTGCTGACTCTTTGTTTTGTTTAGCAGTGCGCTGCGTGCGCACTGCTAAGAGATTGCTCTCTTCTTCAGCGAGGTTGTCTTCTTCCTCGCTGGCATAATCGTTGGCGATGCTGAATATACCAGCATCGTCATCATCATCCGAATCAATAATAGCGTCTTCGCTATTATTGAGATGATCTTCTTCATCGATGTCGACTTGATCGACATCGGCATCATACGTGACGACGTTTGCGTCGACACGTGATGAGCAAGAGCCAAAACGGTTTTTGCTCGAGCGAGTCCCTCCCCCCTTATCCAAGAGTCACACTCTAGAAGGGTGGGCACACGTGGATGGCGTAGGCCATTCACGTAAAACGGTGTGTGCTGTGTTGAAGCATGCACCGAATTATTGATGGCGAATTCCACCATGGGTAGGAATTCGCTCCAACTCGGAAACGAGTGGACATATCCTCGAAGAATCTCTTCGAGGACACGGTTCGCACGTTCCGTCTGACCATCTGTTTCTGGATGGTCAGAAGTGGACATCTTCAATCGTGTTCCGAGAGTACGGAACACGGTTTTCCAAAATTCCGCCGTGAACCGAGGGTCACGGTCGGATACGAGTTCACGGGGTAACCCGTGGAGTCTAAAGACCGTGTCTAGAAAGACACGAGCACAACCTTGAGCCTTGATTGACTCAGGGACAGCAGCAAGATGGACCATCTTGCTGAATCGGTCCACAAACACAAGAATACCATTATTCTTGTGAGCGTCTTCGGGAAACCCGAAGACGAAGTCCATTGAAACGGACTGCCAGCACTCTGTCGGAACAGGCAGAGGCTGCAATGGCGCACGGGATGAAGGACTAGGCTTCACCCGTTGACATACTTCGCAAGCACGGATGTACTTGCGAACAAACTGATACTGGCGGGGCCAGTAAAAGTCGCGACTTACCGTGAGGTAAGTCTTTTCTCTACCACGATGGCCGCTTGTTGGGGCATCGTGACACTCATACATGATGCGCAATCGCAAATCATGATGAGCGGGTACGACGACACGAGGCGTGTCGTCGGCAACAGCTGTATAGTACAGCAATCCGTTGCGTGTACTATACCGATCCGATGAGGATCGGTACAAAGCCGGTAAATCCCTCATGGATTTACTGGATGGATTCACCAGATGATCCATCAATCGCAGAAGATCCTTATCTTCCGCGTATGCCTTTCGTACGTCGTCAAATAAACTTGACGACGGGACACTGACTGACAGTGTCGCAACAGTGGGCTTGTCCTCACTGTTGGATTGCGCGTCCGGCTCGAAATCGGGCCGGCGCGAAAGAGCATCCGCGACGACATTGAGTCGTCCCGGTTTATACTCCACGGAGAAGTTATACTCCGCGAAGAAAGACAGCCACCTCGCCATTCTTTGCGAGAGGTGTGGGCTGTTTACGGCCGTGCGTAATGACGCATGGTCCGTGTAGACAACAAACGGTCTATCTCCCAAGAGATAGACGCGAAATTTAGCCAGTGCGTATTTCATGGCAAGGAGTTCCTTGTCATGCACTGGGTAATTACGCTCAGCTGCTTGCAGCTGACGCGATTGATAACAGATGACGCGCTCCGCGCCATCTGCATCAAACTGCATTAACGCACAGCCGATTGCGAAATCGCTGGCGTCACAGACCACATGAAATGGTCTGTCCTGATCTGCAATCGCCAAGATCGGCGATTGCATCAAGCTTTGCTTGATACCTTCAAAGGAACGCTGACACTCAGCGTTCCATGACCACTTGACATTTTTCTTGAGCAAGCAAGAAAGATGAACAGTCATCTCGGCGTAGTTGCGCGAGTACTTGTGCAAGTACGCCGCAAGACCAAGGAACTTCCTTAGTCCCTTGACATCGACTGGCACTGGCCAGTCGGTGATCGCCTTGATCTTTTCGGGATCAGGGCGTACGCCGTGTTTTCCCACGATGCACCCAAGAAGTGGTATTTCGCTAGCCGCGAATATACACTTCTTGAGGTTGGCGTACAACTTATGCTTGCGCATAAGTTGAAGAACCTGACGAACGTGAGTTCTGTGAACTTCAACGTCCGTCTTCCCGTCCATAGCCCGGCTATGGACGAACACATCGTCGAAGTAACTCGGTGCGAAGTCTCGCACCGGTCTCAACAGATTTGTTACACATCTGTTGAATGTTGCAGGGGCATTACTCAGCCCCTGTGGCATTACTAGCCACTCCCACAGCATCCCGCTGGGGGTACTCACTGCTGTGAACGGGACGTCCCGTTCACGCATCAGGATCTGATAGAATCCATCCATCAGATCCATGGACGAAAAGATGGTACTCTTTGACATACCATCTATGATTACGTCCTTCCTCGGTATCGGCGTCTGAGCCGGTACCGTTGCAGCATTCAACTTGTTGAATGCGTGCACTATCCGCCACCCTCCTGTGGCCTTTCGCACACAGAAGGTCGGAGAGCTGTGAGGGGATGTTGATTCCCTCACATGGCCCGCTGCTAAGCGATCGGCAAAGAACTTGTCGATCGCTATCACTTGTTCACGAGGCAGTGGCCACTGCTTCATGACACAGTATTTCGAGCCCGGTTTGAGCTCGATCTCGTGTCGAGTGCCTTTGTCCTTAGGCAACTCGCAAGGTACGGATTCAGGGAACACATCCCTGAATTCGATCAAATCCTTATACAAAGGATTTGCCTGAAGTGACTCCCAGGATTGGGACGCGTATCGCTCAATCCGAGTCTTCTCATCGAGGACACTTTCGTCCATCGATGAGCTGCTGAGAACCCGTTCGTTCTCAGCAAATACTGTTGCCGACCGAATGTCGGTCACATACTCGTCCTCTGTGACGAGTACGCAGATCTGCTTGACTTTGCCACTACGCAGATCACGCAAGAACCGTTTCGGTTCTAGCGTTGGCAACTGAGTTATCTCCGAAGTCAACTTCGGAGGCACAATCAGATCAAGCGTATAAGCGCCTACGCTTGATCCGTCATTAACCAAGACGTTCAACGTCTCGGTTTCTTCCTGGGATCTTGCTTCCACAGGTTGCTGAGGGCCTGATCCCTCAGCAAGCAACTCTTGAGGAACTCCTTCCTCAAGTACGTGGGGACTTATTCCCTCGACGTCTTCCGACTGTGGCTGTGCAACCACAGTCAGGAACCGATCCTCTACGGTCGACTCTCCAGTCGACCTAGGATTTTCATGTTGCCCCTTGGGGGCAACAGATTTATTTCTTCTAAGATGCTGCCCGCTAGGCATGCATCCATGTCCCGGTCCACTCGACTTATTCGAGTGGTGGACCTTCGGCGCAGCCTGTACTTCTGTACAGCCGCCGGGAGCTTGCTCCACAGTGTAGTGATCAACTACACTGTGACCTTGTGCAGTCGTGCTAACGACCGTACCGCAAGTGAGGCCATCGCACTCACTCGCAGAACATCCACACGCTTGTGGACGCTCCAAGATGTTCATCAGATGGCCATCTGATGAACAAGCAGCAGGCATCTTCACGGATCGATGCTGCCAGCTCACCCTTGGCTCGTATTTTCTGAGCCAAGGTAATCCCAGGATGACATCAAATTTGTCATCCAGATCTAGTACGATGAAATCATCATCGTACTGCTCGCCCTCTAACGTGTAGTGGATTCCTACTACTCGTTTCTCAACGGTTATCGATGCGCCTGTTGCAAGGCGCACCGTCATCCTTGTGAGGGGAATGTCGCGCTCAACGAACTTGAGCCTACGACCCTCTAGTGACTGGCGACGAACAAAGTTGTTCGACGCCCCACAGTCTACTAGGGCACGAAGCGACAAGTCATTTGTCGCTTCCAACTTCAAGGTGATGAGCGAAACATCATCACCAGGTGCAGAGACACACAATGATTGTGTATCTGGAGCAACTTTCGTCAAGAGGTTTGCAAATTCTCTTGAGGTTGCTGGATCAGTAGGGCGCTCCGCCCCTACTGACCCCGACCATTTTTTGATGGCCCGTCTCGCTGTTGCGGCTTCGCAACAGCGCTGGACCCACGCCCATTGCCCTTTCTGGCGAATGGTCGTCCATTTCGCTCAGTACTGTTTGGTACTGGGCGCGGAGCACTACACTCGTATGCGTAGTGCCCTAACTTCTGACAGCGATTGCACCTCTGCAATCGCTTGTTGCTTGTAGAGCGAGGTCTCTCGCTCTCAACATAACAGAGGTCCATTGGTTCTGGACCTCCGATCTCTTGTCGTCTCGGTGGACGGTAAGAGTTTGAGCTAGCATGAGCCTGTCTCATGCTAAAGTCTTCCTGTTCCGCGGCTGATATCGCTTCTTCAAGCGTATTCAGCTCAAGGCGGAACAGGTGGCTCCTGACGGGCCCTTCTGCGAGCCCTTGCATGAACACCGTAATCAACGTGTGTTCATGAACTGGGTTTGCAGTTATACTACTCGCAAGGAGTCGTATATGTTGTGCGTAAGCGTGCACATCACGCTTACCCTGCTTGAGTTTCAGGAGCTCTGAACGAGCCCTGAACTCAGCACGTGGCGGCTCAAACGTTTGTCTGAGCCGGGACTTGAAGTCATCTAGCGACCTAAACACATTTGGGTCGCTACTCTCGAGTCCCAGGGACCAAGTTTTGGCACGCCCTGCCAAGTGGGTTTGAGCAAATGTGAGTTTCATTTGCTCATCTTCGACGCGACGAGCCCTTAGGGCTCTGTCGAGTTCGACAAACCATAGTAACAGGGAGTCCTCCGGGACTCCACTGTACTTGGAGATGTCGACTTTCATCACTTCGGGACGACGCGCATGCGCCGTCCCGCCCACAGCAGCATGGAATTGCTGCTGTCTCAACAGCTCCGTCTGTTGAGCACCGAGTTCTCTCAACTGCTCGGCCTGTTGAGAGCCTTGCTGGTGAAGCAAGGCTACTTTCTCCCTCTCGAGAGCAAGTTCATTGTGAATGAACTTGGCGATAGCAGCATGTTGTTGGTCTCTGTCTAGAGACTCCAACATGGTGCTGACGACGAGTTCGCCTACGGTAGAACTCATTCGTTCTACCGCACCCCATTCGATGTCACTCAAATGGGTAAACCCTTCACGCGTGGCGTGAAAGGTGTCTTCTTCATCCAACATGTTCATGTTGGATGATGTGGTCCTTGGAAGGACTACAAAGTGCTACCAGGTGTAACGGGGCACACCCTTGCGTAACTTAACGCAAGGGATTCGGGTGCCCCGACGGACGTACACGTGGCGAGCGAGGAAGCGTAGGTAGGGTAAAAGTAGAACTGTTATATTAATAAATTAAGTCTTTAAACTACTGTCTCTTCGTTTGACTTAATTCAATTATACTAATATAACTGCATGTATGGTGACGTCTCGTCACCACTCATTGCGCGCGTCTTGCGGCGATTGGTGGGTTGATATCATCACGATATCAACCAATGAACAGACCCTTCTGGTCGACCCTTCAATATCACCGCTTCGGTGATATTGTTTAAAGAATATCCATCTTTATATTCTTTATTGTCACTTTCCTTAAGTGACAATATTATGTAACGGGCTGCCCCGTTACATTATGCGCGTAGAGCAAAAGGCCGAGTCCAGGCATGATCGAGCAGTGTGTGAATGACCCACAGGGCTCAACTGACTAGCAAATTCGGTCACAGATCGGACGCAATTATCAGCCAAGACGAGTGACGGCGTGACTTGCTTTGTCTAGTGGAAGCACAGCACCTGATGATAGTGTCCAGAGCTGACGAACATTCACAGGTGGAATGTGCGCTCGAATAAGGGACACGTACAGCCTGATGCTGTTTATATCGTGTGATTCTGCTGACTTCAACGAGTAGGACAGTATAAGCGCCAGCATTGATGACTACATTGTCGTGACGCCTCTGCTGTCTGGCTATCGATGTACAGAGCGCCAATACACTGCTACGAGTGCGTCAGTGTGCTCGCCGAACTCCACCAGATAGCTCTTCCCGATTGACACTATCCAGTCTTTGCTCACAGTCTTAGCTCGCAATCAGACAACAAACCAGACCAGATGTCCGCTGTTAATGTAGCTGCGTTTCTCATGGATCTATTTGTGCATCAAACGTGCCGGCGTTTGGTCCCATTTGGCGTAAAATCGTCCTGACAGAAGGACTCGCTTGCAGTTCAGCATCTGGGCAGACTTGTCACACGGTGGATAGTCACAGAGTCAGCGAGCGACACGCGAAGAACAGGAAGAGAGTAGCCACATATGCTCCCGTCATCATGACAACGACAGGACGATGTCTCAAATGGGCCACTCAAATCAGACACACGCTACAAATTGTGCGCAAACAAGTGGGTTCATGCGACCCTAAAGTAACTGCAGCCGTCAAAAACGCACGTCTGTCTCTCTCGTGCATTGGAAAAAAAATGAATCGTAAATCAACAATAAATGAGTCATATAGCTCAGCATAACAGGACGCCGGCGCGCCCATGAGATGGTCCTGCACATTGTGGTCCTTCTTGCTCCAAGTCGTATCCGATATCCAAGTCGCGTCCGCTTCCAACACGTCAAAGATGTTCCATCCGTTCGGCGACTCGATCCACAGCGTCCGCTCTTCGACGTGGTCACAGGCGTACACAATGTTCCAGTCAGTTTGCTGCCTCTCCGCTCACAAATGACTCTGCATGCGCTGAATGATTCGCAGCAGCTCCACGGCGCTGGGTCGCACGTCCGGGTCCGCGTCCAAACAGCGGTCTACCAGTTCCTTCACAAGCGGCGGACACTCGGGCGAGAACGTTGGCCGCAAATTCCGTCGGATCACCATCTGCACGATCTTCATGCCCTGGAGCTTCTTGCCAGCACTGTCGCGCTTGTCCGAGTACGGCACGACGTGCATGTCGAGCTCCGACATGACAATGCCAAACGAGAAGATGTCGGCCTTCTCCGTGTACTTTTTGCCCATGAGCACTTCAGGTGCAGTCCAGTAGATCGTGCCCACCCCTGCGGTCATTGTGTCCTCGACCGACCGCTCTCGACTGATGCCAAAGTCGCTGAGTTTTGCGCGGAACGAGTCGTCGAGCAGAATGTTCTTCGACTTGAGGTCCCGGTGGATCACTTTGGGCGAGAGGCCGTGCAAGTACCCGAGCGCGTCGGCCACGTCTTCGGCCAAGTAGATCCGATGGTCGCGCCAGTTGAGCTGTCCCTGCCGGCGCTTGAGGAAGCCGTAGAGGTCGCCTTTGCTCATGTACTCGGTCACGGCGCACACGTCCTGCATGGAGCTCCACGAGATGCCGACAAACTCGACAATCTTCGGGTGCGAGAACGACGCCATGAGCTTAATCTCCGCGCCAAAGCACTCGATCTCGCGCACGTCGTTCTTCTTCTCGTTCAGAATGCGCTTCACGGCCACTTGCTGGTTCTCAAGCTGCGCGAGCCACACTTCGCCGAACGCGCCTTTGCTCAGCACGCGCGTGAAGTAGAGCGACGCGTAGGGAATGCGGCGGCGCCCGAGCGTCGGGTCGGCTTGGAACTGCTCGAGCACGCGGTTCGCCACTTGCCGCGACTTGTCCGTAATGTCTGCGTCGCGGTTGTTCCCGCTCGAGTGCCCCGACCCGCCGCCGCTCAGCTGCCCCGTGGCCACGTACTTCGGCGGCGGCAGCTGCGACGACGACGACGCCCGGCCCTCTTGTTCAGCCGCGTGGAGCTCGCGCGACGGCAGCCGATGGGGGCCGCTGGACGGCCGCGCGTGGCTTCCGTCGACAGTGCTGCCGCGACTCCGGGGGTCGCCGCCGCTTGTGGCCGCCGCCGCCGCCGAGCCAGTGGTGCCGTGGGAGGCGGTCGGGTGGGGCGCGTACGCGCGGGCGCCAGTGGGGCGGTGGGGCTGCGTCGACGAGGCCGTGGGCAGTGTGATCGTGTCGGGGAAGTGCTCGTGGCCGCGCTTGCGCCGACTCGAGCAGCTGCCGCACGTGAGAAAGGCCAGGAAGCCCATGAGGGGGTCACGAGAAGGAGAGCGGTGACGGACGGACGGACGGCAGAGTGAGTGAGTGAGTAAATGGACTGATAATAAGGAGTGGAGCTCTTGGGCGTTCTAATGGCAGCTGGGGGGAAAAGTAACTGACGGAGGGACTGACTGGCGGGAGCTGCTCACTCCACTGGCTACATGACGGAGGTCGCGTGGGAGAGCCGAGGGAGAAAGTGGCGTGGGGAGATTGATAGACTGTGAGAGTTGATCGATAGACGGGATGGTTGGGCGGGATGCGGTGGGGTGGGAGTAGCTGGTACAGTTGATGAGCTTGTAGGAATGGATATAGTCCGTGGGATTGATCCAGTCGAGACCACGCGGAGGAATGCGGCGATCGGCACCTGCTTGACTGGGAAGAAGGCAGGAGAGGCGGTTTTGAGCCCTTTGAGCTCGTCGTCTCGTGCTAGAGACGTGGCGGAAGCAAGTGGGAAGAGAGAGAGAGCGGGGGGGGGGGGGTCGGCACCTGAGGCCGTAGTGAAGTAGCTCGAACGCAGCGAGTGGATTCCGAGTGTTTACACAACGATGTCACAACATGGCTACCGTTTCGACCTGTTTTTGCTTGACAGACACCCGTAGTGACAGGATAGTCGCCACTTGACTCGTCTCGGCAGTCATTGCCGAATCAGATTCCGATCGCGCAGACGTTTCGGTGGCACGAGCTCGTCGCTCGCTGCGTGTACCTGCACGTACATGTGAGCCCGAGTGTGCGACTCGTCAACCACCGAATGAGCATACGAGTCTCCGCGCTGGATGCTGCCAGCACGTGCGACGCGTCGAGCGAACGTTTTGCAGGGCATTGCACACGCAACGTCGCAGATTCGGCCTGCCCACGTCGGTTCAAAGAACGTGCTGTGCTCGTGCTGGGAAAGCAGCTGCTGCTCGCAAAAAGGCACGGCACGGTCGACGATCGCTAGCGCTACTTTCGTGGAAGTGCAGAGTATTGCGCTGCTGCTCGTGCCTTTTACAACAACAAAAAAGATGTGCCGACTGCTGTCGTTGCAAAGCAGTGCACACCGCCGTGTTAGCGCTACTTCACGCACGTGTCAAAAGCACCACCGACACAAACAGGTGTTTGAACCTGCATTCGTGTCGTACCGTCCGACCAACAGCTACAAACTTAAATACCCGTGGGCAAGCACAGCCTCAACAAACGATAGTCACACTCTCGCTCGCTACTACTGCAACTCATCGTGAACACTGCGCAAAACCTCGAGCAGCTCCGATGCGTCCGGTCGCGCGTCCGGGTTCGCGTCCAAGCACCGACCCGCCAGCGTCTTGATCTGCTCGGGACAATTCTTCAAAAACGTCGGTCGAAGCGCCTGGCGAATGACCAGCTGGATGATCTTCATGCTCTGGAGCTTCTTGCCATCGCTGTCGCGCTTGTCCGCGTAGGGCACGTCACACGTGTCCATCTCCGACATGACAATGCCAAACGAGAAAATGTCGGCCTTCTCCGTGTACTTTTTGCCCATCAGGACCTCCGGTGCTGTCCAATAGATGGTACCCACCCCGGCCGTCATTGTCGATTCCAACGACCGCTTTCGACTGATGCCAAAGTCGCTGAGCTTTGCACGGTACTTGCTGTCCAGTAGAACGTTCTTCGACTTGAGGTCGCGATGAATGAGCTTGGGCGAGAGCGAGTGGAGGTACACCAGGGCTTCAGCAATGTCTTCGGCCAGCCAGACCTTGTCGGCAGGCCACGTGAGCTTGGTTTTCCGACGCTCCAAGTAGCCGTTGAGATCGCCTTTGGGCATGAACTCAGTCACGGCGCACAGATCCTGCCTGTTGCTCCACGAGACGCCGATAAACCGCACGATCTTGGGGTGTTGCAGCACGGCCATGAGCTTGATCTCGGCACCAAAGCACTCAATCTCCTTGACGTCGTGCTTCTTCTCGTCCAGAATCTTCTTGACAGCCACCTGCGTGTTTTCCAGCTGCGCGAGCCACACTTCGCCAAACGCTCCATGTGAAATTTCCCGCGTAAAGTAGAGCGAGTCGTAGGGGATCCAGCTCTCTTTAACGCTCGGCTCTTGCTCGAGCTCGGCCATCACCTTTTCGGCTGTCTCTTGCGTACGAGCAACGACCGCCGGGTCCGTCTGTCTCGGCTTCATGTCGTCCAAGCTCGAGCGCCTCTTCACGCGACTCTGCTGGAGCTCCATCAGCGACAGACCCCGTCCCTCGTAATCTTGGGGTTCCAGCATTGGCATCTCAGGAGGCGGCGGCGGTGGGTACGAATCGTGTGAATCGTACTGACTATCGTACTGAGACGACCGATAGAGTGGCTGTCCCTGTTGCTGCTGCTGCTGCTGCATCTCTTGTTGCTGTTGACGCGTGTACGTCGGGGCTCCATTCGCTGGCCACTGAGGTGGACGTTCTTCTCGTGACCGTGTCGAGCACGACGAAGAAGACGGACGCGAGGACTTCTTGTCCGGTCGATGGCTGCTGTAGTTCGAGTCCATGCGCTGGTCGTACGCGACATTGTCGTGCGAGTTCTCGGTCGTGATCGACGGGAGACCGTACCCGCGGTTCTTGTCGCGATGCTGGTTGCGCTTCCACACAAAGAAGGCCACAATGCCCGCCAAGATGACGACAACGGGAAGGACAATGAACAGAACGGTCGAGCCGGAGCCCGTGCTCGTCGTGTCAGCGGCACTGACAATCGTCGTCGTCGCGTGGACGGCGAGGAGCTGGAGAAGGACGTGGCGAGGGTCACACACCTTCATGGCTGGCTAACGCAGTCGCGAGTCCCGTCTTCAATCGAAAATGATACGCGAGGGGCGACAGGAGGCAAAGTGAGCGACGAACTGACTGACCTACGGACTGACTACCGACTGGCTACTGATGGACTACGGACTGACTACTGACTGGATAATTGACTGATTAACTGACTCGTTCGCGGGAGGTCGTTTAGTTGAGACGGTCGATTGAGGAATGAGGAGCTCCGATTCATCGATGGGCATACAATTTGCTGCTGCAGAGGTACGATCGCGAGTGGGGCTCGATGGGGAGGACTTGGCGTTTGTATGGGCGCGGGTGGCTCTCGCTCTTTTGGGACATGCCAGCGCCAAAGCACAACGTGCGACCGGTCAATGCGCTTTTTGTGTGCCCCACCCACACTGCGGGCCCACGCGGGACTTTCTTTGGTGCAAAGTGGGAGATGGGATTGTTCGACGACTCCCTCGTACTTTGGGCAAATCGCTGTGACTACTTCGTGCAAATCGCTGTGACTACTTTGTGCAAATCCCTTGTGACCACTTTGTGCAAATTCCTACGACGACTTTAGCTGACGATTGGAGCTCACGGACCAAAGAGCAGCGAATGTACTGCTTTTGGAACAGCGAAAGCCGCGGACGTGTTTTCGGATCCTATCGCCTGAATCTCAGCGCAGACGTTGTCATCGTCGAACGAACGAAAACGTGGTCAACTAAGTGTCCATCCACGTCAGTTTTCGCTGCTTACGTCGCTCTTTCGAGACTGCTGGACATCTTGCTGAGCGAAAGGGGCAAGCGAGCGCTCGCGCGTTGCGGCCGTACGAACACCTCGTGATCATACGGCAACGCTTTGCTGCACTCGGACGAGAGTCGGTCCACTCGCCTACAGAATGGGCGTGTGCCCATCGACAGTACGTGCGAGAACGATCGCCTACGACTGCGCAACATGGCGCTGCAGACGAATCGGTGTGTCTCTCTTCCTCTTTCTCACTTTGCACCGGATGGCCACTCTGTCTCGTGACGTACTGCGAGCGCTGCTGATGCACAAAGATCAGTACACGAAGCACAAGTACCCACGTACCCACCCACCCACCCAGTTAGTCAGCAACGCGAGCGCCGATACAATCCCGAGGCTTACTTTTCAGTGCACAACAATACTACCACCGCCAGCTAAAAGTGACAAACATAACGTCCGGTTGTGCGGGTGCGTCCACTGTCGCGCAACAACCACAACGTCGACGCCGCCGCATGCTTTGTACAAAACGACAAAAACACGACAAACAGCTTCAAAAAAACAATTCTCCACCAATGACCGCGACGCTCGTCGCGTGTTGCTTTGTAGCAGTCGTTTTGCTTTTGGTGTGCACCACACCCACTCACCCCACACGTCCGCGTAGCACGTTTTCGTCGGCAGCCGACGCCCATTTGCAGCGGAAGACGGCGCTTAGCGGCTGCTTCGAGAGCGTTTCTGTGCCTGCTGCGGTCTGTAGAGGGCCATGGAGGTCGGCGTGTGGGTGTTCTACTACGTCCAGGGCGAGGAAGGCGAAGACCGTACGCACCCGAACGCGTTTCGGCTCTCCAGCGCGTCCCCGGGCGCGGACGTGACGCTCGCAGATGTGCTCGCGAGCTGTCCACTGCGCAATCCATTGGCGTTTCACTACCGTTTCCGCCTGAATATGGGCACAGGCAGCTCGTTCTGCTGGCTCGATGTCGTCCAGCCCACGCAGGTCGTCCCGCTGGCCAGTGGCCGCGTCCTTTGTAAGCTCCTGCGGCTCGACCGGCGGCCGCGACCAGGTCTCGTGTTTCGACGTCGACCGGTGCTCAAGTGGGCCGGCAGTGGCGCTCGGCCATACAGTCATCAAGACAAGAGTGCAAGCACGGGGATGGAGGCGACCGTGGGCCAGGTCCTGTCGGCCGACGCGGGGCCGTCGGTGACAAACGGCAACAGCAGTAGCAGCAGGTTCCATCGGTCGTCGTCCGTGCCGGGGTTCGAACAAGGTCGACCGGCCAAGTACTCGGACCGGCCATCAGGTGGTGCAAGTAATGGAGGTGATGCTCAGCACAGCAATACGTCGAGTCGCTCGTCGCCTGTCTGTGGGGAAAGGAAGACGGGCTCGCGAGCAGGTTCTGGATTTAGCTCGACGGCACCAGTGCAAGAGAAGCTGGAAGACTTTCTATCTGGTGGGCAGCAGATGATTGGCGGTGGTGCTGCTTCTGCTGCTGCTGCTGCTGCTGCTGGTGCTGCCACGACACCTGCTGCTGCTGTACCTGATAACGATGTGGACCTCATGAGCGATAGTGGCTGGCATGATGCTCCCGCCACGTGCAACGTCAACTCGGACTTTTTGAACGCGATGGACCCGCTGGCTGCTCGAGCCGCACCGGCAGCTCAAGTATCAGCTCCAGAAGCTGTGTACCGAGAACCACCAAACTTTGACGATGACAACGGACAGACCGTGGGTCCCGTGACGATGGCGGAGATGGAGGCACACTCGAAGTCCACGTCGGACGGTTCCAATGTGTACAACCCGAGTCTTGTGGACAAGTCTACAAAGAGCGAAGATGTGCGCCGTGCAATGGAAGAACGGGAGAGGCAGGTGCAACGTGATGTGGAGCGAGCACGCGAAGACCTGCGCAAGCGCGAAGAAGCTGTGCGTACCATGTCTGCAATGAAGGATAGTGCCAATGCTGTAATCGGTCCTAGATTGAAGAGCTGGGCAGAAGATAATGGCCGCGTGAAGAACATCCGCACGTTGTTGTCTACAATGCACCACGTCATGTGGGAAGACAGCAAGTGGTCCGAGGTGAACATGGGTAAGCTCATCCAGCCCAACGATGTGAAGAGGCATTATCGCAAGGCCATGATTGTGGTGCATCCTGATAAGGCTGGTGGGCGCAAAGCGGAGCAGTTGTTGATTGCCGAGCGCGTTTTTGCGGCACTCAACACGGCGTGGGAAGACTTCCAGAAGTCCAATCCATGCTGAACGAGGCCGCGAGCAGAGCTCTAGAGCGCAATAAGGTCGGGCAGCCGAAGCGGGACACAAGTGTGCACCAATGCGATAAACCAGACGCACTTTCAAATATACAGACAGGTACATATCAGTCGAAATTGTGTGCCTCTTCAAATGTGCAGCCACACGAAGCCTGTCTGCATTGTTCTCGAATTTCGAGTAGACGTGTCGGCGTCGTCGTCTCGGCGACTGTAGATCCGATCATAACAGTCGCCTACATCTTCTTGATCACAGCGTGAGTCTTCCAGTACTCGACCGCCTTCATGTAGGCGTCGCGGTCGATGGGGACACCCGAGCCACCTTGCGCCTTCCCGATGGCATTCCGCATCATGGTAATGGGCTTCATCGGCAGCTCGTAGTCGACGTCTTGGGCCTTGATGGACACAATGCCCCACTTGGAATCGCTGTGCGATGGATCGGCCTGCACCTCCACCGCCTCGTTCTCCTTGACAATCTGTTCGCGACTGTACAGGATAATGTCCAAGTACTCGGCCACCCTCGGAGTCACACTGTGGCTCGGGAACCAACGGCTCAATCTACGTCGTCACCACACAATCAGACGCGTCAAAACACAGCTCGACACCGCTCGACAGTGCTCGAGAAACAGCTTGCACAGCAGCAGCATCCTGCCCGTCTTTCATTACTCGGTAGCACGTACACTGGCAGCTCGTACTCTGTGCGGGCCTCGTAGTCCGACATGAGCATAGATGCATTGGCCTGCGTAATGGGCACAATGTTGAGACGAGCGCCCGTAAAGTTCTCGATAAACAGGTGCTTGCAAAACGGCGCGTAGCTATCATCAGAGCATTTTGCATCAGCGGTATCCAGTCACACAGCACACCACAAATCACGTCAGTGACAACTCGACGGCATTGCAGCAACAAGAGCCAGTGCAACTGTTGACTACATGTGACGTGTGCATGCAACGTACCCGTCCACCAGCTGCTTCGAGTTGGCTTCGTACACCTCGTTCACGCGCTGGATAAAGTCCTCTTTGTCAAAGTCGATCTGAGTCCCCGAGTACGTCTTTTCGTCGAATTGGCGCTTGGCAAACCCATCTGTTCGCGAGGAATCAGACCGAACCACACAAAACCACACACACACACAAACCCGACGATGGTGATAAATAGCCAATCAACGTCCAGTCCAACGTCCACAGATCGATCCCCTCAATATGTTGACACGCTTGTATACTTAACGAGCAGCTCCACACGTACCGAGTACAATATCGCGGCGCGCGGTCGGCGTCTCGTCCAACGCATTTGTCGCCGCAGTGCTGAGCATGTGGGCAAACGGGCGCGGCTGGAAGCAGCTGCGGGTCACGGCCACCGTTGTTGTTGTCCGCAGACGTGCGAGCAGCATGTTAGCGAAGCCACCGAAGGCTGGAGAGAGAAGAGGGGAGTGGAAGCGAGCGGACCAGACCTGCAGAGTCAGAGCGCCGACGGATCTTCGTGGTTCGAAAAGTGCCGGTCCCAGCAGGCGATCGCGTGTGGCGGTCGTGTTTTTGTTGCACGCGCGTGTGATTGGTAGAAAACGAGTGGAAGCGGCGACCGAAGTTCAGACGGTGGGCGGGCGCAGGGCTCGGGACAGGCGTCCCATGTGACGGGACCGCAGCGGACTGTGGAAACTTTGCCGAAACTAGCCGCGGCGAAACCCGGGGGTGTCTACTTTGAGGAGACGAGCGTGGATACATTGCCAAGACCAGTGTGGATAGGTAGCGCATGTCACACGTCGCATGCGACGGTCAACTTATTGCTGGACATGCGGCTGCATGGCTATCGACGCGTTGATCGGCAGCTGGCAATGTGGGTCCCACTGCAGCTTCAAGTAGTCGCGTCAACCGCGTCAGTTGGTGCTGCTGGTGCTGCAGCTGCACTTCTAAAGCGTGCTGGACAACATACACAAACGGTAGACGTGACATGAGCCGTCTTGTTGCATGCAGAACGTGCTGCAGCCCTTTGCATGGAATGAGCGCTCACCTGTCCTGTCAAGATCGTCGCCAATCTCTGGTGCAGCGCCGTTGCAGCCGCCAGGTGTGGGACCGACTGACTTGGCGACGACGACGACGACGACGCCGACGACGCCGACTCGGGCGTATGTGCGGCTGCTGGCGAAGCAGTACACACGGCGTGATCGCGTGTCGGGCGGTCGTTTTCGCGCACGTCGTCGTGGTCGCTGGTAGTGTCCAGGAAGAACGGACTGCTGGACGTGCTGTCGCCATGGCCCACTGCCATGCTGTACAGTTCAGCCTCTTCTTCGCGCTGCTTTTCCAGCATGACCTCAATGAAACCGCTTCCTAGCACGGCTCCGGGGATCGTAAACAACACGATGCCCCATAGCGCAAGCGAAGCCCCGAGGAAGCGGCCCATGTTCGTGACGGGCACCACATCGCCGTAGCCTAGTGACGTGATCGTTTCGATTGACCACCACACACAGACGCCAAAGCTCGAGAAAACACGGGGCTGTGCCGCGTGCTCGAGGAAAAAGATCAGCAGCGACGCCGTGAGTACGACCACTGCTGTAAGGTACGTCACAACGAGGAACTCTTCTTTCTTGCGCGCAAAGACCACGCGCAGGTTCTTCATGGCATTGTACATGCGCTCGAGCCGCAAGAACGACACGACTCGAAGAAGGCGCAGCGTCCGCAGCGTCAGTGCTTTGTCGTGATAGATGCTGCAAAACACATCGCAGGGAAACAAGAGCACGTGGGACAAGCCGAGACGTGAGGAGTCGACCTCTTTTTTTCTCAATGCAGTAGTGTACGTACTGCAACTCCGCACAAAGCTCCAAGTAGAACGGAACCAACGCGATGAGATCGATCAGCGACAGCGGTCGGGTCATCCATTTCAGCCTAACGGACAAGAAGAGCGCGTCAGCAGATAATGGACAGCTAATGCCCTGCACTGCATGTACACCACGCCCGACAAACGTCCTGACCGTCCTGTAATTGCCCCGCTTCTGTACCGCTCGTCTTCGACGCATGACCATAGCCGGAGCGCGTACTCGGTCGAAAAGATCAGAGCCGACACCAACAAGAACACGTCTGTCCAGTCATTGACGACGGGCATTGGCCCCGAAGAAGAAGAGGGAGAAGACGGGAGAGCGTCGGCAGTGAGCACGGCCGAGTATTCCGAGATGGCCACGACCACATTCAGTAGAATGAGCGTTAAGATGCTCAGCTCCAGCACGTAGGACGCAAACTGCAGACCCGTTCGGTGCTGCACGGACGAGCGGTAGCGCAGCACCGTCCAAATGTCCTGACGCACAGTCGTGTGGTGCTGAGTGCCAGCGCGTCGTCGCCATTGTTCCGGTGGAGGAGACGACGTCAGGAGCGTCGAGTGCTCTGTACATGAACGACCTCGTTGCTCATGCGGCTTCATTCCGTTGCTTAGTCGAAGAGCTGCAGCACGTACTCACTCGCTCGCGACCTTTCGCGTCTCGACGGACGGAGTTTTGTAGCTTTAGCTAGACTGGTCGTTTCTCGATGAGCGGGACGGACTCGGTACAAAGTATACGCTTGTATACACACAACGGACCCTGCTCTTGTCCTGTGCCCGTTGGCGTTCTCGACACTTGTTTTTTTGCACCCCTCAGACTCAGACTCGACTCCACTACGAGGCGAAACGACCATTTGCAACGGTGATGAGCTCACATTAGCACGTGGATGTCAACGAATGAGGAACGCAAGTTGGCCCGATGAGCGGATGAGAGACGATCGGATCCATCGAAGAGAGGCGATTCGACGAGAATCGTCTCTGCTCTTTCCGCATGGAGCAGTGGTACATGATAACGCGCGGGAGGTTGCTGCTGTCGCGTCCATCCTATCGGCAGCGATAAGATGCCTCCGTGGCACCAGCGCGCTCATTTCCGCAAGCGGATGGATCAAGTTGTGGGCCACCGTGTTCATCTCGTTCACTGCTTGACCATCCAGTCAGTTGTGTGCTTTTACTTGCAGGTGCTCTCTGCAGCACTCATCAGCTACCAAGCGCTTGCTTGTGCCAAGTGCTTTCCTCGGTCACGTCGTTCTTCCAGCTACTCAGCTGATCTCTTTTCGGCCTGTTCACCTGTCCCGACCTGCTGCTCTTCCCGATTTCGTGTTTCTTCTCGTCGCATCTTGCACTTCTACCAAACTCTCCCCCGTTCTTCCTTCTTTCACTTTGTTGCTCGCTTGTACACGTTTGTCTTCTTACTGTTCATCTGCTCGTTCTACATGTTCCTCCAATTCAATGGCTCGCAACTTTGTAATGGACGGCTTTGCGATCAGACTAGACGATGCCAACGCAAATATAGAAGTGATGCTCTCCGTTCGTCCTCGCTACGATGCTTTCATCTCTTCGCTGCCAACCCTTTCTGCCCGCCCAGCTTCTGCTACCGTCCGAGGATAGATACTACCGCCGTTACATCGAAGTCGTCGGGCGACAGCAGCGCTTTCACAGCAACTACAGCTTCTCCATATTCGCGGCAACGTCGAGGAGGCAATGTGCTTCCAACAACCACGTACACCGCGTTTCCTTCGGTGGCGCTGACCGCTGAGTAGATTGCGGTCGCACGGGTTGCGGTCCTGGTGGCCTAGAATCGACAACATGCACGTGCTTGCACTTGTCGCGGCTCTTTCTGGTCAGCTTTTGTCCTGGACAACAACATGTAACTACAGTGCAGCTGACCTTTGCCTCACTTACATGCAATTGATGAGGGTCGTCCTGGCGATCTCGCGTAATTTAGATCGGCGTCTATCCGTGAGCAGAAACGAGCAGATCTGTGTCGTTTCTAAATGTAGACGCTCCTGTCAAAGTATCCGAGCTGTTTTTCAGCTTCCCCCACACTCCGATTGACGAAAACAAGGGTAGTCGCTGTCTGCTCCCTCCCCCTTCCATCGCCATCTTGCTGCGGCATCAACTGACATGTCACGCTCGTTCTTGTTCTGCTTTGCTTCCATGCTCGTCGCTTCCGTGACACACTCGACGCGGTATCCTGCGCCTCAGGACCATGTCAATGGCTGCTCGTCTCCGCTCGTTTGTCAACAGCCCCACGGGGCCCAGGACAACGCACTTTTGGGGCCCTGTCGCCAACTGGGGGTTCGTGCTCGCCGTACGTACTTTTCATCCGCCCCTTCCGTCGCGTGCTTCGTGCTGTGATATAGTGCGTCAATAAGTGATGAGTGATGAGTGTATGCTGTCGCTGTGCAGGCCATGGCCGACATGCGAAAACCTGCAGATGTGATCTCCATCAACATGACGTCCGGTACGTGCGAGTTGCTGCTTCGCGTGCAGGAGCAATTGACGCACACTAACGATACTGTGCAATGGCGCTGTGCAGCGCTGTCGATCTACAGCCTCGTCTTCATGCGCTTTGCGTGGATGGTCCAGCCACGCAATTACCTGCTACTGGCGTGCCACGCCTCGAACGAAGCGGCACAGCTGTATCAATTGCAACGTGGTCTGCGCTTTCGAGCCAGCAAGAAGAAGGCTGCCGAGACGCAGGAGGAGAGTAAGCCGTAGCTCGCTCTCTGTTGCTTTTTCTCCTGTGTGAGATACGCCCACGCACGCGGTATCAGCACTGGCAGTTGCGTCGTCGTGAACTAGAGCTTCTCCGTGGTCCGCTCATGGCTACAGTTGCCGCTCGATCGAAGCAAAGCGGTATTGGCACTCGATTAACAACAACAGCATGACACCTTTTACAACACCACGAACCTCTTTATCTCTGCTGCTGCTGCCGCTGCGTGTCCTGTTTTCACATTCGGAAGACACCAAACTTTGTTTCCTGCGGCTCTTCGTTCAGCGCAGCGCTGAGGCTCAGTCCCAGTACCTTGCGCGTGTCTTTCGGGTCGATGATGCCGTCGTCCCAGAGACGCGCAGTGGAGTAATACGCCGAGCTCTCGACCTCGTACTTGTCCAGGATCGGCTGCTTGAACGCTGCCTCCTCTTCGGCCGACCACGTCTCGTTGCGACGCTCGTAGTTGTCCCGCTGCACTTGCGCGAGCACTCCCGCCGCCTGTTCGCCCCCCATGACCGAAATGCGCGCGTTTGGCCACATGTACAAAAAGCGGGGCGAGAACGCGCGACCGCACATGCCATAGTTACCTGCGCCGTAAGAGCCGCCAATGATGCACGTGATCTTGGGCACTTTGGCGTTCGCGACGGCCATGACCATCTTGGCTCCGTCCTTTGCGATGCCGCCGTGCTCGGCCTTCTTGCCCACCATAAAGCCCGTGATGTTTTGCAGAAAGAGCAGTGGGATCTGCCGCTGGCAGCACAGCTCAATAAAGTGCGCGGCTTTCACCGACGACTCGGAGAAGAGAATGCCATTGTTGGCGATGATGCCCACGGGGTGGCCGTAGAGACGGGCAAAGCCCGTGACGATCGTCGTGCCGTACTCCTTTTTGAACTCGTCGAAGCGACTGCCGTCCACGATGCGCGCAATCACTTTCCGCACGTCAAACGGCTTGCGCGCGTCCACGGGAATGACGCCGCCCAGTTCGTCCGGCGAGTACAGCGGCTCGTCGCTCGGCGTCGTCTGCGCGCTCTTCGACGATGACGACGACGACTGGTGGTGGCGCTTGTAGTACAAGTGGCTCACGATCCGGCGCGTGATCGCCAGCGCGTGCGCGTCGTTGTTCGCAAAGTGGTCCGTCACGCCCGACGTGCGGCAGTGCACGTCAGCGCCGCCCAGTGCCTCGGGCGTAATCACTTCGCCCGTGGCCGCCTTGACGAGCGGCGGGCCGCCGAGAAACACCGTGCCGCTGCCTTTGACAATGACGCTCTCGTCCGACATGGCCGGCACGTAGGCGCCGCCGGCCGTGCAGCTGCCCATGACGACCGCGAGCTGCGGGATCCCGGCGGCCGACATGGTCGCCTGGTTGTAAAACACGCGTCCAAAGTGGTCGCGGTCGGGAAAGATGTCGTCCTGCCGCGGCAGGAACGCCCCGCCCGAGTCGACGAGGTAGAGACACGGCAGGCGGTTCGCCAGCGCGATCTCCTGCGCGCGCAGGTGCTTCTTGACCGTGAGCGGGAAGTAGGTGCCGCCTTTGACCGTCGCGTCGTTGCCCACGACCATACACTCGAGGCCGCCGATGCGGCCAATGCCCGTGACGATCCCCGCGCTCGGGACGGCGTTGTCGTACATGTCGCAGGCCGCCAGCGGCGACAGCTCGAGGAACGGCGACCCCGGGTCCAAGAGCGAGTCAATGCGGTCGCGCACAAACATCTTGTGGCGCGCTTCGTGGCGCGCGCGCGCTGTCGCCCCGCCGCCCTGACGGGCCTCCGCGACGCGCGCACGCAGCTCGGCGGTGAGCTGGGCCATGTGCGCGCGCGACTCGTGGAACTGCGGCGACGTGGTGTCCAGCGCGCCGTCCAGCACGTTCGAGAACGAGTCGATCGCGCCCGCGAGCGACGCGAAGCGGCGGCAGCGCAGCGCGCGCTGCATTGCCGTGGGGCGGAGGACGGAGCGTGCGGTGAGCATGAGTGGTGGCAGAGTGATGGTCGGGGAAACTAAGCGCGCGGGAGCGCAGGCGACTTGAAGTTTGGCTCGCAAGGCAATCAAGACCTGTGCTAGAGAGTGCGGAGAGGGAAACCTCTGAAGGTGCATGCAACGAGCGCCGAGTTGCCGGCAACTTCAACCTTGCAGTTCGTCAAAGTCGTCCGCATTCTGGTCGCCAGCCAATGGGAGAGCGGAGGAGACGCCCTGCACGGCTTAAGCGTGCAATGAGGAAAGCGTTGTCGACGACGACGTGGCTTGTGCTTCGGTTCGTATCTGCGCGATGGGTTTCCGCCATCTGCGCGATTTGTGCGTCCGGGAGTTTGGGAAATACGTGAGCCAGTCGTCTGAATCGAATCGTTCATGACGGCTGCAACGGGTCATAATTCGTATAGAGAGTGCAGACCACACACACATACACAATTCGACAGGTACGCTGTAGGTGATTATTCTTTCCAGGTAGTGCTCTCGATTGACGTTGCGTCAACACATTGCCTACATCGGCCCTATCGCACGAGTGGTACGCAAAGACGTCAGCCACTTTGTGTCACAGGGCGTGCTTAGTCTCGAGCTGGTGCAGCTGATCGTCGCGTCGCGTCGCCATCTCCTTTTTCTCTTTGATCGCGACGATCCCTCTCGGCTTCTTCAGTCAGCCCTTCGCTTTCTTTGCCTTCTCCGTAGGTGTCAACTCGACTTCGCTCAGTTCCACCAGAGCCTTACGATAGTGTTTCGCCGGTGACGTTGGCAAGTGGCTCGTCCACGGCATCTCTGTCTATCAGCCTCCGTTGCCACTTTCGTACAGTTGTTCGAGCTTCGGTTCTAGGGCGCCCCGTTTGCCGTTGTCGGAGTTGCACGAGAGGGGAATTCCTAATTGGTGGAAGCGCATTACCGTAAGGAGTGTTTTGCGTGTTGCGGATTGGGGATTGGGTTTCCTATCTCGGCCCTCTTCTCAGCGCTGCGCTCTTGTTAAGTTGGGCAAGTAGTAGTATGCTCGTGGCTCCGGCGCAGCTTTGGGGTGGCGGCCGATGAGCCAAAGTCCGCCTTATCGTCATTTTGACGCGGAGACTGCGACCGACTGGGGTACGTATCCTGTCCACCAGGCGGGATCATCTGAAGCCCTACCGTTTATTGCAGTCTTGATGGTCAATGGGGATTAGTGCAGTCGTAGCGCAAGATGTGGCAGTCGTCGTTCACTAGCAGATGCGGGAACGCGACAGCTGCTGCAGAGCAGAAGAATGAACCTGATTGCCGTAGTATGACTTGCCACGGATAGGCTCGTCAGATGACCACCGAAGCAGCAGCTAGTGTGATCATGCCAACACAAAGAAGAACAGGTCTACAATGGAACCACATCAGCTGAAGACGCGCGCACCGCAGCAGACATTCGCCCGCTCTTACCAACAAGCGTCCGATGTATATCACGGGCCTTTCGCCCGAGCGTGCGACTTCTTTTTGCGTGCTAGCACCCTACACAATGGAGTCACTGAGGTCCGAGTCTTTCCAGGGCCGTTGCCATATCGACTCGTGCGAGCCCAGTGACAACTAGACCAATGCATGGATACTAGAATTGGCCACGTCTACGACGACAACACCACTGTCCGAGTCCCGTTTAGACCTACGTGCGTCACTTACTTCATCAAGGATACTTGATGTAGCACGAACTAGCGCGAGGTCTTGCCATCGTTCATGAGCGCGAAGAGGTCAGCAACAGCCAATTATCAAGCCTGCCGTCTTGCTCGATCTCGAAACATCTACGTACGTGGTCCATTGGCCAAGTTGGCCCTCGTGATCATCATGCCAGTGGCTCTATACACGAATGAGGGCGGTCGTGTTACGTGGATCGAGCAAGAGATCGTGAGTGAAGGATACGTGAGAGGTGGGTGGATCGATGGAAAGACAAAGTGGCAGAAGGAGAAGGTTGCTAGCGTTTTACGGACCTATTGCGTTTTCGCGATCGCGCACAATCCTCGGTTTACAAATTGCTCTTTTGCGATGTCCATCGTCGCACGTACAGTCCCAATCTAGTGCTGCATCGTCGATACATACTCGCTGTACCGAGATGGAGACACACAAAGGTGCCTGATGCAGAAACGAGTCGACAGATCGAGTCGACAGATCGAGTTATAGTCGGCCCATGTTCTTCTTGCTGGAATAATGATCTCACGATGCGAAGAACATCGATCAAGTCCTCGCAGCTTTTGCCGCTGATGGATTCTACGAAAGCGTTTCACGAGCGACTCGACGGGAAATCGAAAGGGTGCATGCGTGGCAATCGTGGACAAGTTATGCGTGCGGCAGCGTCCTACCTCCTCCCTCTACCGACGTCCGGTATCATACCCCATTCAGACACACCAACCCGAACGCGTGCGCTCCGATCTCATTGCGGAAATGGATGGGTGGGCGGTATCCCCAACTACGACGGTCAGGCAATGGGATTCAGCTGTGGAAGCATGCAAACAGTGCATCACAACCGTCCGCAAGCGCGAGCGTCAAAGACGTGCCCGTTTTAAGAAGAGGGTAAGCCGACGCGACCGGCGCCAGCTCTTGACCCGTCCTCAGTGGATCAGCGCTAATATGGAAGATCACCGCCTCGAGCATCTCGTTCGATTAGGGCAGAGCCTCGAACGGACCACTGCGCGCCTCCGATGGTCGTTTAAGCGAGTCGCAGATTGGGAGCGCGTACAAACAGTTACGAATATCGCTCGCATTCATGGTCCGCCCTTTAGGCGACACCTATCCATTGCTGACAAATTCGCTTCGGAATGGTCACCAGTTCTTAGTGCCGTGCATCGGGTGGAACCCTTGGCAGCTTTACCAAGAGCGTTGCTTGACTTTGTGTCAGTGCCTGACGATCGCTTGATTTCTCCCGCTGCTAATAATGGGCTGATGGTTGACGTCACTGAGACTGAAGTCCTTCACGCCATCACCGAGCTTAGCCGCCACAAAGCTTCAGGGCCGGACGGTCTTAACAATGACTTCTACAAAGATACGTCCGCTTTACTGGCTCCGGCGCTGGTGCACGTGTGCAATCAAATATTGCACGGTTCTCCTATGCCACCTTCCTTTCTAGAAGCGATGATTATCCCTCTTCGGAAAAAGGGTGATTCGCCGGACGCACTTGACTACAGGCCGATCTCTCTGCTCCAAACCAGCTACAAAATTTTTGCGAAAGTGCTGGCCTCCCGACTACAGCGCGTCTTACCTACACTCATCGGGGAATCGCAACAAGGTTTTGTTCGAGGTAGACAAATGCAAAAACTGGTCATGATGATGACTGCCCAACTCGCTTCAGCGGAGGAGAGGGCGGATCTATCAGCCGACTTAAGCCGATCTATTCTCTTACTAGACTTTCGCAAGGCGTACGACACTGTGGACCGAGATTTTCTATACGCGGCATTACGAAGCTTTCAGTTTGACGAAGTGTTTATTACGCTCGTCACCCGGATGCATACCGGGACAACCGCTCGGTTTCTGGTGAATGGGGAACTTTCTGAACCAGTTCCTGTCCGGTCCGGAATACGTCAGGGGTGTCCTCTCGCACCGCTTTTATTTCTACTTGTGGTGGAATTACTTGGGCTGGCTATTCACCAGGCGCCCTCCATCCGGGGTATTCCGGTGCCCGGGGCCTGCGAGGTGGTGCATACATTCTCCGCGTTTGTGGACGACTCCACCATATTCCTTGAGCATGCCAATCAGTTGGCGCCTGCGTTGGAGCTCGTCTCTAGATTTGGACAACTCTCGGGCCTTCATGTCCAGCCTGCCAAGAGCAAATTGATTTTTTTAAACACGGCTATCAGGCTACACCAGTATGGTGGCATCTCAGTCTTACAACATAGAGAGACAACGCGATACCTGGGGTACGAAGTGGGGACAGGGGCATTATTCGATCGAAACTGGGCGCTTCGGCTTCAGAAAATCCGTCGGCGGCTTCTCACTGCAGCGAAAGTAGCGACTAGTGTGCAAAATCGTGTCCTCATTCTCAACGCGATCATTTTACCGGCTATCCTGTTCACCGCGGCCGTCTTCGATGTGCCGAGCTGGGCGAGAACGGAGATATCTCGGCTGTACCGCCAATTCCTGTGGGCGCACGCTTCTGTGCCTGCCGTACGTCGGCACAAAATTAACCCGGGTCTCCTCTTTACGCCCCAGAAGGCAGGCGGGGTTGGTCTGGCCTCGTTCGAAGTAGCCGTCAAAACTCAGCGGACGAAGCACGCGTTGCGTTGGCTAACGCAGCCGCATGACAAATATTTTACAGCGTGGCGGCGCTGGACATATAGCGTGGGAGGTTCCACATCGGCTCTTGTCCCGGCGCTCCATCCGTCTGCTTCAACAACGTTTGACATCAGGCGAGGACCTGGTCGTTCCTCTCTGGCGCAGGATCTCGAACGGCTCCTAGCACCCTCCCCTGAACAAGTGCTGTCGATTCGGGCCAGATTGGACGCGCATCACGCTCGTATGTCTGTCGGGGCGAGCAGTCAGTGGGACGGTGACGAATGGTTAATTTCATACCATCAAACGTTTCCTGACCATCCCGCTGTTGCTGATCACCGGATGGATACATTAGCCGCTTTCTGGGGCCGCTTTCACTGGGATGGCAATCCTTGGATTCAAGGGCCAGACGGCAAGCCCCTAGAGCGGGCCAAATATGCCCGGATACCTCCATGTTCACTGCGCAGTCTGTGCATTCGGCGACTGGGGTCACATGAATTTCAATTTACGTTCCCGTCTCTCGGCGGTACTCCGTCTCGGCATATGCATTGTAAATTACAACGTTGGGCGACTTCGATCCTGCTCTCGTCACCCCACCTTGCTGTCGGTGCGGGACCGGTAGAGCCCGGGCTCGTCTTACGTCATCCACCGCCGTTTCGGCGCGCTTATAAATGGTCCCGGGTGCGTGCTGATTTAATTGTCGGGTCCTGTCGGGACCCTGTCGAGTCCGCGAACTCGGCGATTCGCCTCCGCCAAGATGTCAATGGAATCCATTG